ATGAACGTCCCTTCAAACTAAGACTCTCTACCATTACAGGATAATTCTAACAGAGGTTTCAATTAACGTTCTCTTCACAATGCATTTCTTTCAAACATCGTACTAATGTTTATACACATATTTAGCACTGTTTGTAGGCTTTCGTTCTTAAATTTATTGGAGAAGTAGAGAAATCTACTGACGAATTTAGATAAGACTTCATGTGGAGATTATAGCGATCCAATTCTCCTGGCACGATCAGCGCAAGCCTTCCGTACATGAACTTCCAACTTCCAACTGAACGCGCGAAGATCATAATCACTGGCACCAATACTTACACCTCGTACTTTCTTCCCACCCTCCCAATCCATCACCCAGGCAGTCACTCCCAGTCCGCCCTTCTCGAGCGCCGCCGACCAACCTCCCAGATCGCCCACACCCGCCGCGCCGAAAGTCTCGCCCGGCACCCACACGCACTCCCCCGGCCCGCGCCGCCCCCGCTGTATCGTTCGCGCTCAACCCGGTCAATAAGCAGCAATGCAATTGCTGTCACCAGGCAGCCGGGGCAGCGCGGCCAATCAGATTAGGGAGTTCAACTAGCACCCATGAGCCAAATGCCACGTGCGGCGCGGCGCGGAGGCGGACGCGGAGCGCAAAAGCTCTCCGACTGCGTCGCCCGTCCCGCCAGCGCCGGCTACGCGCTAATCTCGCGCTTCCACCCATCCCCCCTTCGAGCCCCTATCCCTCGCTCTCCCGCCCTCCTCTAGGTCTTTTGTCGTTTCGCCCCCCGTAAGTTCGCCAGGCTAAACCCCTGTATCTCGTCAACCATTCGTCCCCGCTACGACGTTTTTTTTTTTCTCCTATCTCACGCGTCCAGAATCTTCCCACTCATATCTTCCCGTTCAAATCTTTAGGTCTCCTAAACCTCCCACAACTACCTCTCTCTCCACTGGGTGTCTCCCCCGTCCGTCTCCAACCAGCCGTTTTAATCTCCACATTCGCCATAATCTGAACCCCCCTCTATTTTCCATGTTCAATCTCCCCCAGCTCTCCCGCCCCGATCCCCAATCTCCTCAGTCCCTTCTCCTGTGACGCTACGGCGTTGTGCCACAACCGCACGTCGCCCGTAATCAGTTCTCTCTTCTCTCGCCTGCTGCCCCGTCGCCCTATCTCACTCAAATAGCGGTCCGCACTTTCCCTCGCCTCAGACTGGCCCAGTTTACTCTCCATATCGCATCTACGCTCCGCTACCCACGCCCTATTCCCTCGCTACTTCTATCCCATCTCTTGTCGTCCAATCACGCATCCATATTCGCATGCTGCCTCTCTCCCAATCTCACCTGGCCCGCCCCATCCCCAATGTCCCTTTGCCCGCCCATCGTCGAGTCTTCTACCGCCCGCTTGATCCCCAGCAATTCCCTGCGCCGCCATTCTTCAATCTCCCTGTACTATCTCATCTCCCATCTCCCGCCGCGCTATTTCTCAACTTCCCATGTCCATCCCAGCTCCTCTGCAAGCCTACCTCCCCGCTCAATCTCTTCAAACCTGCCTGTCATATCCAAACTTGCCTGTTCGATTCCCAACCTCCCTGTCACACCAACCTGTCGCTGCGTCCGCCGAGCTTCCGAGGCCTATCGTGTCTCTCCAGATCTCCACTCGCTTCTTACAATCAATGCACCTTTTCCTCTTCTTAACACCATCATCTCCATCTACCTTTCCTCTTAATTTTCTCTGTCCCCCATCTCACGCCTTTGCCACCGCCAAATCAACCTTTGCACTTCTGCCTTTGGCATTGGCCCTACTAATCTCCTGATGCCGCCTCTACACAGGGCCCTGTTACAATTCCCGATTCCCTTCCCGCTCACTCATAACTCGGATATCATCTTCACCCACGCAGCCGTCACTTTCAAGGTAGGTACTCATTTCAGATCTCAAACACGTTTATAATTACTAACAACTGCTTTTTTGCCTCTTTGTCTCCATTTAAATTCCAGTTGCAGTAGACATTAGACGTTTACGTCCTGAATTCAAGTCGTACATTAATTTTACCAAATAGTGTAATATGAATTTATTTATATTACAAATGAATTATTATTAATGTATTTTGGTCGCGCACTGGTTGTGTATATAACGTCACCGTTTAAAAACCCTTAGAGTAGATATCTCACGAACGACGATGAAGATTGAGAAAACAAACATTATGTTGATTGAACAGATGGGCGTAATTGACTTATTTCGAAATATGCCTTTGCAAGAAGTATGTGTATCTATGTAAACTTTGCTTCTCATTCGATCTATTGTCTTCACTCAAGTACTTCTATATTTTTTTCTGGGACATTTTGCACACATGATTTGGTCTTAGTTATTCACGTACGTTCATATAGGCACTTATTGCTTCCTTTTATATTTGAAATATTCATTAACTCGGGTTAAAAGAGGAATTCTACTCACATATTCTACTCTACTAGCATTTACATAAACCGCACTTGATACCTTCCCCAGAAGAAGAATGATCATTGACACATTATGTCGGTATAGTTGGGAGTGGTTATTTTCAATCCTTGTCATGTTAAAATGACGTAAAAACGAGCAAATATAGCTTTCAATGTACATTTTAGCATTACTGATACCTAGAATTCTTAGGTAAATTCATACTTAGACGAAAAAAATCGAATGCCATTTCACTTAATTATCTTTTTTTGCAAGACCAAATACTTACGACCAATGAGAAATAATTTAAAAATAAAGCCACAAATTGAGTTTAAAGATTCTAGTAGAATACATAAAAATCAGATGAAAACAAATTACATCGATTTCGAAGGGAACGCAAAATGCGTACACGTTTCCACGTTTCCTTAACAAAAAATAAAATCTACAGGTATATCTAATAAAACTGAATTGATTGTACGAGTAGATAGATAATCCATCGCAATGACCTCCATTAATATTCAGTTAAGGTTAATATGTATTATTCTTACATTTTATCATTAAATGTCTGACTGACACTTAAAATACCTTAAAAATCGACGATTCGATATTTTCTATACCTTGGACCGTCACCGTTTTTCACAGACGTACTTTACACATCACAATCCACCGTTCATCCACACATCCACACATTCCACCGTCCATCTCACGCTAACGGCACCCATCGATGCCTCAACGTCCGTCATCTCTGATGGGCGCGAGGCGCGGCGAGCGCATTAGATTTCACGGGCGGGCGAAATTATTCGCCGGCTAATTGCGCCGCTCCATTCCTCTCACTTTCCTTTAATCTGCGCGGCGCCGTCTTTCCCGATTAGCTGCCGCGAGCGCGTCAACAGACGGCGTAGAGCCGCGCTGCCACTCGCCGCCCACAGCACCCCATCCCGCTCCGCAGCCATTGCCGTTCCCCGCCCTCCCTTGGGCAACATTCCACCACCCCGCCTCCACTCCGATCCGTTCCCTCCGGCTCGGCACAATTCACCCTACATCGCCTTGATCCTTCCCACCTCCTCCCGCTCCACCTCTCCTTGACCTGCTCCGCCCAGCTCCACCCCTCTTCGTCACACTCCACCCCGTTTCCCCCGCTCTACCCCGTCTAGCCCGGTCCCGAACCACCCCGTCCCTCTTCGCCCTGCCCTGTCCCGTCTCTCCCTGTCCCACCTCGTCCTAAACCATCCTGACTCTCCACGTCCCGTTCCGTCCCAACCTGCCTCGCCTCGCCACAAACCACGACTCTCCCTTTCGTTCAGTTTGGTACCACCCCGCAACGTCCCACTCCAGCCGGTCCAGTCTCATCGCATTTCGTCCCGCTTTTCCCCGCCCCACCTCTTCTCGCACCGCATCATCTTTGTCCGCCTCGCCCCGTCTTGCCGTCTTCATCTCACCTAGCCCCGATCCACCTTTTCTCCAACCGTCCGGCACTCCGCCATATTCCGCTCGGCACTCCTCCATATCGTCCCGCTTCAGCCCGTCGCGCCTCGTTCCGCCTAGTCCAGCTCCTCCTGGCCCCCCTCTCGGTACCACACCTGTTCAGCTCCAATCAGTTTTTTTTTATTTCTTTATGTTAGCAGTCATTGTAAAAAAGTTTTATCAATTACTTTGCATACATAATTTCATAACTTTTCTTCCGAAGAGCCCCTCTCATTAACAGGTTATTTCTTTAACACTATGAAAGTTTGCAATGAATATGTACAACAAAACAGTTCATATTTTGATTTAAATGTGAAAGAAAGCGGATTGTAGTAATAATTAGTTGGATATGATTGCACATTATGGAGGATTGTAGGACATTTTTATTATGACGACTCTTTAATTCTGGGAAAATAATTTGAAGTTTTATCAAGATTAAAGATTATATTTAGGGGGCAAGAGGGTAAGGATGAATATAATCATAAGGATACTTTTGTGATCCAGTTCTTTAAGGGTTCAATAGATTGTTCTTTTTGAATTTGTTTGTTCTTTATGAATCATAGAGCTTTTAATGCATTGCGTAAATATTTATTTTGAATTACTTTAATTTATTTTGAATTATTTTGAACGACTTTATAAAATGTGCTTTCTGCTGCTCCACTCTAAATCTGGCAAACATATGTTAAAGAGAATTTGATTATACATTTAAAAATGCATATTGGCGTTTCAATGTTGATGCTTATTTTTTTATTGATAAACGGAGCTCCTTAGTTGAAACACCATTGTTTTGACTGTATTGTGTTACTGCATCCATGATTGCAACAAAACATCCGTAGCATCTCCAAGCACTCCTCAGTTCCTCCCAATTATTCCTCTCCCAAATACCACTCCCAACTACTATTACGACTCCAACGATTGCACTCCCAGCTCCACTGCTCTTAGTCCTGCCCTGACCAACTGGCAACTCTTAGCTTGAGGCCGGTGCAGCGTTGACATACAACACTCGGATATCCGGAGCGGATTTACACACACGGTTGGGTGTATTTTTTTCAACCTCCCAAATCGAGAAGTCCCCGTTATTTATAACATAAAAATTCAATAATAAATGTACGAATAAATAAATACGCATTCGCTAAAATAAAATTGAACCACAGTTTTTTGTGGAAAAATTGTTTTTGTTAAAAAGATTGAAAATAAACGAATGCGGTCGCCTCAACAGCGCTGTCAAATAGCATACTCCATGGTGACATTTGAAACGGAGAGTGAGTTGGAGCAACGGGCTAAGAGCATCGAACCAGTGGCTGACCACCGAGGTAAACAAAAACAAAACCAAAACAGTTTTTCTTTACCTTTACCGTAAGTCCGAAGCGTACACTACAGTTAAGGGAACACAAAGTTATATGGTAATGTAATTACGAAGTGGAACGCAGGGAAAAAGAAGAATCCCAAAATATCATTTTATTTCCGAGAATGAATAAAAATTATGAGAAACCCATAGCGTCTACAAGGATACGAAATATCTCTTCTTTTTGTTATTAATGCAAGGGCTCAAAAACAATGAAAAGTTCTAATGTAATGACCAAAAACTAATTTAATTAGCTATTAGCACTATTAGCACTCTCATCATCCTGTGATTCAATTCGCATCCACTTAAAAACGTCGTTATGTTTCTGTACTTTATTCAACACAAAAATACTTCATGATCTAATATTTCAAAATGTCATTAGTTGAAACAGCATTGTTTCGACTGTATTGTATTATATCATTCATGACTGCAACAAAAACGTTAAATCCAAAAACTAGTTTATTAATAATATATTTAAAAGCAAAAAACTGTAGCGTCATCTGTGACACTTATTGCACTATGCATTTCAATATTATGACTCAATATTTTAATTCCTGTATTTAGATTAATTAAAATGTGCAATATATACTCCGTTATAAATTAAACTATACAATCCAATGATTTTTCTCGATTTCTGAATACAGTTATATGTATAACATTGTCTGTGATACTAAGTGTCCAATATAATTGAATATATGTTACCGATATAACTTTCATCAGAAGGAATTAATTTGTGAAGAGCGAAATGCTCAGGCGATAATTCCCGTACGTCGGATAATAGCAGCATTGAAGAAAATAGTTAATATTTTTCAGGACTTTTAATGTTTCGCCAAACAAACAGCATTTGCAATGCGGTGTATAAAAATTCGTGTATAAAAATTTCAGGGTCATTAGAAAAAAAAAGGGGCCTGAAGCAGTAGATCCATGGTAGCCCCTGATTTCCAACAAAAGTTACCATTATTTTCTATATCATTAATTATTAATACATTTTAAAGTGAATCATATTTCATCTAAAGTTTTTTCAAATGAGTTTTCAAGTAAATACATTTTGAATAAATTTTCGGGGCCCCACTTAACTATAGGCCTGTGGCTAGTTAACACTGCTGCCCTACCCTCTCGATGCCCCTGGCAAACTCCAGAGATTTCCTCGCGGCCGTTGCAGTCCGCTTCGCGGCAACTTCCTCTCCGAGCCGGGGCTGTCTGCCAGACGCCTGGTGCCGACATCCGTCCCAGAGGTCGCCTCGACTGGCCGGCTGGAGGCGCGCACGCAATTCGGTGATTGGCCGAAGGACTCTCTCGCACGCGCGCGCTTTCGCCGCCATTAGTGGACGCGCCACGCGCCGGAAACACGCATCGGACTGCGTTGGATCGAACCGCATCGCATCGCATCGGATCGCATCGGATCGCGTCGTATCGAGTCGTAAAGGACTGAAATCGCACCGCGCGGAGCAGCAGAGAAGTTGTGTGTGGCCATCGCAGGTTCCGTTCCCGGGTCGCAAACGCGCGCAGTGCAGTCGCTACGGCACGCTTCGTCGATTTTCTCGTCGCTTAATTACTGTGAAGCTCGAACTGCATAGGAGATGCAAACTTTCGATGGAGATGTCTACATTCACTGGGAACCTGTTCGTACCTTACCAACAACTGCTTTCTGCGAACTGGGAGGAACGCAACCTCCAAACTTCTCATGAACTTTGCAAATTATTACTTTTTAAATATGTCACTTGTCTTTTTTAAGATAATAATGCATCAGCTTATTGTATATTGCACTTTTCTCCTAGTTCTGTTACCGTCATACCATTAAATACAGTAAAGACTAATGTATTTTTGCAGGAATTATTTACTAGGTGTACATCAATATTACTAATTTCGTATACACGTATCAATTATTAGAAAAATAAACAGTCCCTGGTCACGTTGGAGGTGTCAATGTTTTCGTGAGGCATCTAGAAACTCACAAAAATACAACAAACATCTGTATTACTAATTATGAATATACTCATAAATAGACGGAAAACTATACAGCCTCTGATCACGTGATAAGTGATAATGTTTTGTTAGATGCTCAGAAAACTGAAAATGCCAACGTAATTGAAACACATTCGAATTTGTGTAAACATTTTTCCACACAGTCGAAAGCAGCAGTTTTGCTACTGCGCACCAACACTTTGTAATATTTTTTCTATACGTTTTCCTATTTATCATTTGATGGTTGATTTTTTGTATAATTAATCCATTATTTTCAAATGGAATCGGAAGTTATTGGAAAAAATATTTGTAATAATAGCTTATGTACTGTACTTCCCAAAAAATCGTGTAACGAAAATGATATATTTCTGGTTACGTTTCCATTCAGTTTTTATGAAGCTTTCCGTATCTTTTCGGAAGTAGCAATGATTTCAAGAGTGCGAAAGTTCTCGAACATTACACCAGTAATCCTACGGATCTCAAATAGCGACGTCAAACAATATTGTCAGCATGTGCTTGGACCATTTCATTCACCAGAAGTGATATTCGTTGCAAAGCAGATAATTTCTAGATATCTTTTCGTGCATAATATCGGAGATAGTCGCCATAAACTTTTTAAGAAACTCAAATACACATTGCATTGAAAAAAATGTTAAATGAGCTACTCGGACGAATATGTATTCTTCGGTATCTATCTCGATGTGTAACAACTTCGACTCACAACAGCGTCAGTCAGAAAAGGATCTACCTTCGACAGAAGATTATAACAAAATGCCGGGTAACAGTTGGTCACGAAATACCAGCTCTGCTTTAGATAATAATAGGAATTTCTAAGCAACTGTTATGCTGCTTCGAGTAAAATCATCATCACGAATTCATCCAAATCCTCCATCCTAGGTCTGGCCAGTTAAAAATCCTTTCTGATATAGTCTCTATACCTCAACACTGAAACTACTAAAATCCGTTCATTCCCTTCACGCTAACAACATCGCAAAGCAATGCCTTCGGATTTTTCGAAGCATGGCGCTTGTTCGCGCTCTCTTTGGACGGCGCACCATGAGGTGGTGGGGGCGGCGGTGACGGCGGGGGCGGGCGATTCACAAACGCGCTCGCGTTCGCCCGTTGTAGCGCGTGATCGCCCACGCGCGGGAGCTACCTGTGCTGCCTCCGCCGCCCACGCTACCCCTCCCCCCCCCACCACCACCACGCGCGTCGGTGCATTGTAGGGCGCCGGTAACGGCAGAGTCGAAACAACTGGACCGGCAGCTTTTCCGCGAAAGCGCGCGAACGCGCGCGCGCCCTTCCCGCCCGCGACCGCAGAGCACTCTGGCGGCGGACAGCTGAGCGCGCGCGAACAGTCGACGAGCGGCGCGCGCTCCAGTTGCCGCCGTGCCGCCGCCGCCGCCGCCTCCGGAACCTCCCGGCGTGAATGCATTACCCGAATATATATTCAGTAAGTCTAAAGGGAGGCGGGGGAGGCAGCGATTTATTGGCAATACGGTGTGCTATTATCCGCTCTCGTCCCCCAGCTGCAGCCGCAGCCGCGGCTGCCCTGCTCGTCGCTGGCGGGCCGTGCGCGGACGCGACGAGTGGAGCTAGCAGCGTGCAGGGGACGCGTCGAGTAGAGGTATCGGCGTGCAGAGGACGCATCGAGACTGGCCGCACGACCGAAGGCACTTGGCCGAGTGATTGCGACATTGGACGACGGAATGTGCAGGTTGGACTCGTGAAGTTGTGACGTGTGAGAAGATATCACTCGTCAGTATCCGTTTTATTGAAGATAACGAAGTGTACAACAGTTAATAAGGAATCGGGACTATGAGAATTCAGTAATGTCGCACTTAAAACTATAATATTCTATTTTGTTGAATATACAGTTGATAAGGAATCGAGGGGGTAGGAGATTTTACCGAATTCAATAGTGTCGCACTTAAAACTATAACATTATATTTTGTTTAATATTAAAGTTGAAACAAAATTACCTTTATTATTACACACGCGCATTTCTCTCGGTCGCGAAAAGACCGTGCCAGCCTCTCGATAATGCCAGCGTTGTGGTCCAGATTGGCACTTCAACTCAGAGCGGCCTCTCGTGAAACTCGTGACCTCAGATTACTCCGGGCAAACAATACCGCGACAGCACCAGGCTCAATCTCTGCGCCTCCTGTGCGCGAGGTAGCCAGAGGGCGCTCATTAGCACTGTAAAAGTGTATCATTGGCTGACTGATTGTGTGTTTGATTACTGAATCCGAGCACGTCAACTTCTAAGGTTGTTAGTCCCGTAAGTGTAGTGCATGGTTTTTTTGTCTGGCGATGATCTTTCGGTGCTGATACAGGGCACGCACCGACCGACCGACCGACCGACCGACCGACCGACCGACCGACCGACCGACCGACCGACCGACCGACCGACCAACCGACCAACCGACCAACCGACCGACCGACCGACCGACCGACCGACCGACCGCTAGCAGGTTTTTCCCACCAGCGGGGCACCGCTCCAGACGGGACAAGCCCTAAGCTCTCGACTGGTCTCCCGAAATGTGTTGTATAGTAGCGCGTGTTAGTGTATGTATATAAAGTGTGAAGAAAGAACAAAGAAGAGAAAGGAAATATAGCGCATGACCCGTTTATTAAGACCCATCTCCGGTATTCTCCTCGGGGTGATCGACAAAAACTGCGGAAAACTACCGATCGAAGCTGCCGGCCGTTTGACTTCTACTCCAGGCAGCGATAGTACTCGACCTAGCGAGCGGCTTACTAGTAGAAGTGGAGAAGCAAAGTGCAAATTTTTGCATAATAATATTGGATTATTAATATGATATGGTATGAGAACTACGATGATTGATGACTTGACGAAAGGAAGAAATCAGAATAAAATCTGAATTTTAAGCATACATTAACGAACGGAACAAGAAAGAAAATGTACAGAAGATAAAGATTGATGAGACAAATACGGAGAGGAAGAAGAAGAATACGGAAAATAAGAATGAAGGAAAAGCTTCAGTTTTGAGACTAGGTTTTGAAGAGATAAGAATAATTGAACATAGTTAGAATGACATTTGTGAATAAACGTCTTATATCAAATGATTATGGAGGAAAACTATAACAAAGGACGCAAAAGTGGATCAAGCAGTTTGCTGGACAACACATTCTTTGACAAAACATACGAATTTACAGCATTGTAGTGTGTTTACTCTTGTAACCATACGAGAGGTGATATTCTCGTAGAACACCGAAAGATAGGCAATTGAATAGAAACTTAAGATGGCCACTATTTTATGAAAAAAATTACTTAATAAAATATTTATAATAACTGATTTTTAAACACATGAAACTAAAATCAAACGAAATATATTTTTTCTAAAGCATACGAATATAAAAACATCAATATTACGATTAAACGATTCACTAATTCAAGAAATATTCTAAACGTTCGAATTCTAAGAACCGAAAAGCTCTCAGCATCATTCATACCAATACTCCTTAGAAAAAATATTGAATTTTTTACCAACTCCACGTAAAAAAAGACAAAATTAGTGTTTACCTTTTTTAAACGATCTGAGTTGAATTATTTAAGTTCCTTTATTATGAAATAGCACACTAAAAGTATTTGTTATTGATTTATATACAAACGTGTTCTCCCGGTCAGATGCAAACGTTTGTCATTTAAACGCTTCACACTTGTTAGATTGATTACACCTTCCTTTCAGAGAAAAAAATTGCACGGATTACAAAATGTTCAGTATAAGCAAAAAATTAACGAATTATTAAAGGGCATTCATACAATTTTCTCTCGCTCTTTAATTTTGTCGCTTGTAATTAAAATAGTTTATTCAGGAATGACATAAAGCAAAATTTCACAGAGAATGGATAGACCGAAATCCATTGTTCGATGACATTTAACAGACTTTTCCGGCATATAACATATTTTTAGAAAGAAAACACTGTTACAATGAAATACCTTTTTTCGACGCCAAAATTGACAAAACATCAGTGGCGCATTGAATTCACACTACGGGCAGACAAAACAATGAAAAGAATTCATTTCAACTCCCATAAACATTAGAGGATCACACAATGTACATGATGGCTGTTGTAAATAGAATGCAAGTGTCAACAAATAATCCACAGCTCGTCCAAATTATGACAAACAGCACGACCGAAGGCTCTAAAAACTAAGAACACAGACATAAATCAGCGAAATTCTGTGCGTGTGATAGATCGCTAGGGCCTGGGAACAGCGGCGCATCACTGCCCACATCCACGTTTCTCACTCCACGCCATTCCACAGCTCCCGCAGCTGTCACACCTCTGGCTATTTCTCGCCTTTGGGGGCCACAGGGGAGCGGCAAGAGTGCTAAATTTACTTCTCTCGGATCAGGGGTTCTTTTCCCAGTCAATCCATGTGGAATTTCTGGTGA